GCAGCACTGGCAGACCTCCCTGAGAACATGGGGTGCCCGGTAAAGTATCACAGCTCTGGTCTTCCTCAGGCCAGATGCTGAGACTGTATCTCCTACCTCCTGTTTCAGTGACTGGGCTTTGATGCCCTGATGCCCATCGTCCTCCAACTTGCCACCTCTCTGCTTCAAAGCACGAATGAGACCCAGTCCACCTTTTGGAAGGACCCTCTGGAGAGAACACCGGGTCCTGGATACTTTGCAAACAAAGGACTGGGATTTGAGGGGTCCATTTTACTGCAGAGGCTTTGTGTGGAGCCTGATAGTTCAGACCAGCAGCTCCATTTGCCAATGTACAGCCAGAGGATGGACAGCAACTTCTGCCCTTAAAAATCTGCATCCTCTGCAGTATCTCAGGGCAATTGGGCAAAGAGGTTGAAATGGCTCTGGTTTGAATTAGTCATGCAGGGAACACAAACAGAGGCACCCAAATGTCCTTCAAAAACTGAGTTCCCACACAAGATAAAAGGGAGGCAGAATGGCTGTGAAACAGTTTGTACAAGCACAACTAGTGAAGTTTTCACATTACAAATACAGCCCAGGAACAAGTCATTATTTTTCAGGCCAGGTTCTGGTCTTTGTGTTCACTTAGAGCCGTGCAAACTGCCTGTCAGCAGAAGAGCCCTCTCCAGCAGAGGCAGGAGGGAGGTCCACCTCAGATGTTCACTATAGACTCACCAACAACCCCTCTCTGAACAGCAACACCTACTTCCAGCCCACCAACAACAGACCCCAGCCTCTCTCTACTGGCATTTGCCCACCGAAGGCCGGTCCTCAAAAGGAAAATGCAACTTGAAGGAGGAGGCATCAGTGGTTTGCCTGTCAGCAGGTTGTCAGGCTGAACACAAGCAAGGAAATTCTTTGGGTGCGGGAGGAGAACTCAAGATTCACATAAGCCTGAAAAGTGATGTGGGACTCCAAGTTAGGAAGCTAACAGTCCAGGGTGGGGATGCAAATCTGGGACTGAAAGAGGACAAGTACAAATATTCACCATGCTGACAGGGAAATTGGTTCCCACATGGAGAACAGATCTTCCCTGGAATCAATCGGATGTGGTCATGCCTGACTGGAGCTGATGTTTCCAATGTTTTTTGTTGCTTTTTTTTGTGTGTGTTTTTTTGGGTTTGGTTGTTTTTTGTTTATTTGGTGCTTTTTTTTTTCTATTAGATTATTGCTGCTTTTCCTTCCCTGGACTTGCTCTGTGCTTTGTTTTAGTTGTGTGACTTTTGCCATTATACAAACTTAAAATAACAATTTTTTTTTTTTCTTTTCCTTATGCTTAGCAAATTGTGCAACATGCTTCCCTGGGACCAGAGAGCTCCAAACTGATGAGCCAGGCAAGAACATGAAAATGAGGACAAGAGAAATCCCATGGTTTTCACTTCAAGCCCTGTCATCAAAGCTAGTCTGCTAAAAAGTGACCTAGAACTGCAGGTTAGGACCAAACTGGTTTCCATATTTATAAAGGAAAAGCCTTCTGCCAAGATCTTGAAACTATCAACTCATTTTCCATTGCTCTTCTGGGCTAGGTTGAAATTTCTGCCATTAAAAAGTGAATATTTTTTTAGTTGGAGGTGGCAGGGGGAGAAATCTTTCTTCATTTTTAACAGAGCCAAAAACCTCAAGCCTGATCCAGGCCCCCTTTGTTATCCAAATCCTAGAATAGTTACCACTCTCTTCCCAAAGTGATGATATATATTCTATGAATGCTAACATGCCAAAATAATCAAAGGCCAATTTTTTACGTACTAAAAAAAGCAGTTTTACAGGTATGCTCTGTTCTACTGAAGGGAGAAAACCCAAGTATTGCAGCTAGAAAATGCTTCTGCGCAACAGGCTGCAGCAGGCTGGAGCACCTCAAGTGTCCTACTCAAGTCACTTCTTCACTGCAGCATCACTCAGTGCTTCAGTGTTCTCACTTCACTTTTTGTGTTCTCCTTTATTTATCTTCGTGCTTCCTTTCTAGCCCCATTCCCTCCACAAAAGCAAACACTAGAACAACAGTGTGGAACTAGCACACAGTGGTGGTGTGTCTGACTATCAAAGGTTTACACAGAGTATTTGGATACCAATGGAGCAGTACGTGTGTGCAGGGAAACCCCTTTTACCAGATGCACCAATATAGCTGGAAAAGTAAGTTTTTAAGCACACAGGTCCCTCAGATTTAATATGTCACTACTAAAAGTTGGGTGGCATTTGCTGCTGAGATACACTTCATGTATTTGTTCGCAACACCCCTCCCCACCCCCTGGGTCTGTCCAGCCTGTCTGCCAGTATGGTCTGTGCAAGACCTGGCAAGACCTGGCAAGAGCTGATTCCTGGCCAGAGCTTTGGGACTTGCACATTAATGAACATTATTACCAAGCAACAAGTGGTGCAGGCGTTCATGGGTGAAGAGTTACTGCCACCCAACCAACCTGGTGGTGTGTTGTGTGGGAACAAGCACAAATTGATTCTCACACATTTTTGCTGCACACACACACACACACAAAAAGACAAGTAGTTTTCTTTACGTTGGCTCCTTCTCACACAAATCTTTCCATCAGGGGCTTAAAACCACTTAAAACCCTGTAGTCTTCTTGTAAGCAGTTCCTGTTAACTAAGATACAAGCATAAAAGCACAGAAAAAAAATGAACAAGTAGGCAGGACAGAAAAGTTGAATGAGCATGGGCTCTTCTTATTTTAATGAAGAAATATTTCAAGTTAATATCAGTGCATATTTAGAAATAGCATGTGATACTCCCAATGCCAAATACATCAGCAAATTACAGTTTCAAAACTTAATAAATTAATGTCAAGGAAAAAAAATATAAAGATTAACACAGAGAAGAAGGTTCAAAAGAAACATCCTGTTTGTTACACTGTGTCAAATATATTCCTGATACTTAAACAGCAAGAGAGATCCAGTATTTCACGGTAATCAGGCTCTTCAAAATAGCAGTTATTTTTCTACAAATTGATTAAGCAGTTTGCATTTATTTTTGATTCATAATTAAATATTATTCTTAGCTGTTACAAAGAAATTTAGTCATGTCAGAGTAAAATTTCATTCCATGACTGAAAATCACACTAACGTAGGAACTCTGCCTTCTGGTTATACCCACTCAGCTGAGAATAGGAAGAGCTACGTGTGAGCACATTTGGCTGTTACATAAAATGGCTTTTTTATTTTTGTCTGGTTTCACAGCCTCATAACAATACTGTTTTTCAACATTGTTCCCAGTCATTGTTTTTAAAACGATTCATCAACATATCCTGAATCAATCATTGATATAAATAACTCCAGTGACAAAATCCATTATGGAAGAACACAGAACTGCAAACTGAAAGTTGTACCAAATGATCTTAAGGTGGAACTGTAATTATTACTCTATAAAATTCTGTAAAAAAACACACAGTATGAGCAGTACCTTTAATTAACTGGCAATGGTGGAACCTGAAAAACTGAGTTATAATTCTAAGAGACATTTAACTCATGATGAACTCTAACACAAGACAAATTGCACTGAAGCTAAAAAGTTAAAGCTTGCAAGTGTGATATAAAAATATTCTCTAGTTCTTTCATTTTCATACAGGGAGTCCAGTTCCCTAACGGAAGAAGATGAAGTACATCCTCTTTCCTACCCCATCATTGTACATATAGATTATTCCCTTGGTATCAGGAAATGGCGCTTCCTCCACAAAAACACCAGCCACGGGAATCGCAGACTTTCGGAGAGTGAGGGGTTTGTTGATTCTGCTTTTCAGAGTGCAGGTTCAAGCAGGTGAAACACTGACAGGATATGCATTTCTTTCACTACTAGTCTACTATGAAAATCCTATACATCAACCCTGTAACTTCAATCCAACTGCAGTCTGCATCGCCTAGAACGAGTGGAGAATCTAGTGTGTGGTATCAGGGCAGGGAGATGACAGCCAGGTTCTGAAACATCAGGCTACATCAGGTTAGTAGGAAAAGGCACATGCTTGGGATTTAGCAGGAACATCTGAAGGTTCCTCGTTCCCATACCCTTACGCTCCTGAAGTTACAGTAGTTCTGTGTATCGCCCAGATGACAGAGTTTAGTTCCAGAAAATCCTGAGGTCACAGGAAACTTCTACTTATGGCACATACACACGGAAAGATCTGTGAGCTCAGCTGGAACTCTTGAGGTGCGAGGGATAATGCAGACACACAAGGTAGGCTACAGTCTGGTTAGGCCAGAAACAAAAACTTAACTTCTCATTATACTGCATACATTCCTTTTATGCACAAATGCAGGGTGCACAAAATAAAGCTGCTTGCTCGGTCAAATGTCATGTTTTGCATACATAAAATAATCAGCTAATACTGCAATTCAGTAAAAAAATCATGCACTAGATAAACAGAGTTTCTTCCCCATGAACAGCAGCTCTCATGAACATTTTTTTCTGCTTCAGGTAACATCTCATAACTTGCCAGCTTGCATAGTCCCTTTTAAAGAACACAGTAATTAGCTAGAACTGAAAAGCAAAATGAAAAAAAAAAAAGTAGTTTTTTTTTTGAGTTGTGATACAGCTGGGATGGATGCAACTGAACTGCTGCAATGCACAAAAGAGTAACACAAATTCAACATGAATATCAGAGAATAAATATATACCCTAAATTAAGCTCTGTAAATACATTCACAGGTCCACTTAAGACACCCTTATGCATAACTTCATCAAATCTGCAGATAAGAGATGGATGTTAATTCATGGGAAAAGCAATTGATCATATGACTCAGTTTATCTGTCATTCCAGCAAAAATCAGTAGCAAAGCTGAAAATCTACATTTATTTTCCCCAGACTAACCACAAAGAGGCTTAAGTTACAAATTCTATTATTTCCAATTTTCGACCAATAAGGCTTTATTTACACTTTTTTTACTATAAAGTCAGGAAAAAGTTTGGTGCAATGTGCAAGAAAAGCCTGCACATTTCACTGATTGAAGACTAACATCTGCTTATGGTTTAATGCTAACCCACAGGCAGCCAATTAAAGTCCCATATATCCATGTTTTTACATAAAGTTTCCTTCCAGATTCTGTCAGCAGCATACTAGCAGTCAGGCCACCTAAAAAGAGCAAAGATGGCAAAGTTTTCTTGAGGCTTAGTTTGGAATGAACACTTTTTCCAGGGAACTTATTTCTTCTTTTAGAATCCTTTGCATCATAGAACTCTATTAGTAACCTACAAGCAGACAAAAGGAGATGGTCAAAGTTATGCAGTAGTGTAAGAAGTGTTTAAACAACTTGCTTTCATACAGTAACTGCTTCTAATCACACATTATTTAACAAATGTCAGGTAGCTCTTCTCTAATAAGTTCAGGCCATCAGTGTGCCTTAAGAATATGATGCATTCAAAGAAATGCTGCACATCAGAGTACACAACCTGAACTCTCATGAATGATAAAAACAGATTTTCCAGAGGGACCAATTTTAATACTGAATATAGAAGTTGAAAAGAATCCTCTTCGTTCAGGATTTAGCAAATAAGACCAGAATACTGGGCAATATTGTAGGACAAAAAAAGCACACAGTTATTCACTGGACACTGAATGCAGGGGAAATTATCATGAAATAAGCTAATAAAAACATGCAAGAGTAAAATGCTACACCATGGGTTCAGCAGGTATTTCTTTTTTTTCTATTTTTGAAAATCAGTAATCAATGGATTTGAAATTCCTGGGGTTTTAAGTATATCTAAGTTCACCTGACAGACTGCTTTGGTCTCAGGAAAGATGTTCCAATCAACATGAGTCTACAAGGTGACATAGATGATCACGGTTTCAGTCTTGCCTGAAACATGGACTCATGGCTCTTCAGCCTAAGGAAGGTCTAAAGCCTGGGAATCCCAACCTCCTGAGCAAAACCTTCAGTCTCAAGAGTATAACACAAAATATGCACAGAAGTACCAACACCACCTCTCTTTGGAGAGCTTGCACACAGAAAGGATGGGTACATCTCTTAAAATAAAAGAATGAAGACAAAGACAGCTTCTTTACACAGAAAGTTCTACACGTGGCTACTCACTTATCCTTTATTTCAAAACGTTCGTGAAGCCACCTTCTCATATACATCTGCTCTTCTGGAATGTCCTTCAGTTCAATGCGATCAATGAAAATATGAACTCTTGGGCATTCCTTGCAAAGAAACTCTAAAAAAGAGAGCAAAACCAACAGGAATGAGTTACAGAAACACTGTAGGATTTTGAATTGTCTAAAATACACTAAGAATCTGACTTCATAGCTATAAGTGCCTTGGAAGCCTAACTTCGGTCTTCAAAAGCCTCCCCACTTCATGTTCAGATCCTGAGCACTGAACTTAGAAGTCACCTGGACTACATGCTCTTAAAAAGGTGGCCCATCATCATGTGCGCTGTGGAAACCTTGTCCTAAAATGCACCCTGCCAACTGTAAAATGCTGTGTTTGAAAATGTTACCCTTCTACCTTAGCAGTCATCTACTCATTCTACAGTGTGGGATGCAATAACTTCTATGTCTAAGTTATCCAGCCTGCAATTTTAATTCAAATTAGCAATCCTCTTTGCTTGTCCTTTTTTAAAAAACTAAAATTTGCTTGCTTCTGGTTGACAAAATCTGAATGATAGTGATTTCCCAAAGCACCTCCTGGAGGAAGTTGTCTTCATTTTAAGTAATAACCTATAATTAAGAAGTGGAATAGGGCAAAAGACTCAGAACAAAAGGCTTCTTTCCATTTTGCACCCCTTCATTTTTCTTCTGTCATATAGCATTACAAACCTCAAGACAACCTTATTACAATTTCCACCCCCCCGCCCCCATTTCAACAATTCGTCTCCAGAAAAATTTAACAAGCAAGTGTTAAGCCACTTGCAAACAAAACTCCATTAGTCAAACAGGCTTGTAGGATTTCTTCTAACAAGTGATTAAAAATACTGTGTTTGGGATGAAAATCCCACCAGTAGGTGTGTATTAGTAACCATTTGCATTTATCAGTAGCAAGGCATATAGCAGTAACCACAGTATCTCTGCACAGAGACACGCCTGATGTGACAATGGAAGTCCTTAGGAATCTGGATGATCTTCATATTTTGAAAAAGGGACCAGAAGTGTCTTCCTTCAATACAGATGGGCAACAAATTTAACACAGACTGGGTGGTCCTTTCAGGTTGACATTTTTTGGACAGCACTACAGATGAATGGGAGACTTTGACCCATAACTGTCAGGGGTATCTTGAGGAATGACTGTGCAAAATAATTGTCACTGGATGTCCATCTTTATTATTGTCTGCCAAAGCAGATATCCTCCTACTTGTTTTTCCTCTTTATAGGATTATTTATTTTTAAGGACTTTGCTGTAAAACCAGTCCTTATCATACACTAGAAATTGCCTTAAAAGAATTTTAAAAGTCTATTCATGTAAATGTGTTTGCATACTTGTAGGGAGGGAGGGAAGGAGAAGAGATAAAGAGATCAGTAAAGTTTTACAGCATTTTGGTGTGGAAACTGGTACGGTGCTGTGTGCAGTTCTGTCAGGGCACAGAGAGCCCCTCACTGAACTGCACCGTTTATAAAGGGAGCAACGTGGCCCAGGCACCATCAGTTGAAGAAATGGCTGAAAGCTCAAACCAGAAGCAAGTCCACCTCTCAGCCATGGAGTAGCAAACACAACTGTTACTAAAAAGCTCCTGGTAAAACCATCTCCTAGCTACAACGAGATGTCAGACAAGTTAATTACACTGGCTTCATGTTTATGTGCAAAGCTTTTACTAACCACGAAGTAACCAGTGTTCATGTATCTGAGAGCAAGTGCCTCTTGCTTTTAATGGGAAGAAAGGATTTTTAAGGTCTGCTTCTCTGAGAATGCTATATAGGCCACCATATGAAGGTCACTCACTGTATGAGCATCTAAAAGCATACTTTAATATTTTAAAATGACAGACATATTCTCCATGTCTTAAATGCTTACACTGCTCACTGATGCACAAATCCTCTTTTTGAGTGGCATTATCTATTACGTGGAACATTCTAAAAATATGCAAAACTGTATTCCAGAAAACAAATGTATCAAAACCAGATGATACGGCCTTTTTTGTATTAGACTTCTGGAAAAAGCATCTATGCTCTATGCATATTCAGCTAGGGCTGGTGATCTAGCTTTAGAAGTTATTTAAATATTCTGTGCATTGTACAGTGTATGGGGTTTTTTTCTTCACAGCTCACAGGTTGTTCTGTATAGGTACAAGCAGCTCTTTCCTCATGTTATTCACAATCTCAATTATAAATTATTAAGAAAAATTATAAAATAAGCAAAATTCCAAGTAGATGAGGCAGCATTATTAACAGCTGTATGATATTTTTTAATTAATATTGTGCTTGAAAAAAAAATATTTCACCACTTAAAGATTCCACCAAAGTATATGACCAATAAGCTCTAGTTAACAAAACAGGATTAAGACACAGATGTTTCAAAAAAGCCACTTCCCCCACCAAACCTGAAATGTAGCCACTCTACAAATCTGTTTAGAAACCAAAACAACAGCCACAAACATCTAAGCATTGCTGCTGGTTTTCTACCTTACACCCAAGTTTCAATGGAAGTTGATTCTTCTTACTTCCTATACTGGTCTTCTTCAGCCAGTCTATATTGAGTGCCCATTTGTGAAGATCTTTAAACTTTTTAATTTCCCAGCTTTGTTAATCCCAATGCCATTCTCCACAGCCATACCCTCCCTTGTAGTATGACACTTGGTACAGCTCCACCGAGGTCTGTGTGATTTGCAACTGCAGATACTCCCTTAGAGAGGATCACTATTCCCATCCACCAATTCAAAACCATTTTATCCAAAGCATGGACACCCGGTACATCTGCAGATGACACTGCAACACGTGCGATCAAGCTAGTTGGGGAATCTGACTGATCTTTTAACTATCCAATTCATGTCAGAGTTTAATGCAACTAATAATTTTTTGTTGTTGTTAGGTGCACAATGTCACTGCAATCACATAAGATCACCACTAGATAAGAACAATATTATTGAGGTTGCTTTTGAGAAGAAACAGCTGGATTTTATCACCATGACCTCTAAAGGTTTGTGGTGGTCCCATGACCCTTAATTTCACATTAGCTTAACTCCCAAAAGGCTTATGTAATTAAGCTAAGAAAAAAATCTTATTGAAGCAATTTATTATGTGCAAATTACATCCAACTTCAGGGACACTAGCCCTTAAGGCCAACATCTGACGGGCTTTTCAGACCTTAAACTTGCCAGAATTTATTATAATTAACAGCAGGAACAGGCAAGCTGGAACTTTCCTTCAAAAGGCAAAACATAAGTGCAAATCATACATTATAATCAAACATTATATTGGGGATAGTGTTAGTCAATCAAGAACCAAGTATTATTTGGGTTAAATGAACACTAACAAATGGCATGGGAGCCAAGAGGACCAAATGTTATGTGGGAGATGATTTCCTAATAAACCTTTCTGTCTGGCTAAATAACAGATACAAGCACAAAATGTTTATGATGCCTCCAATGATCAAACACAGCAGAAGGAAGTGAAAATAGTAAGGTGGATCAAGCATTTTTTGTTTATAAATTGACATTATGACCCTCCTTCTCTGGGACAGGATTCACACTAACAGAGGACTGAAGGATTCAGTGCAGAATTAATGAGCAGGATGCAATGGCCTCCAGAAAAGGAACTGGATCCACAGAGGTTTTTAATTGCAAATTAATGTTTTGGGAGGGTGTTTTCCTTGCTGGACTTCTACAAAATTCTACCAGTTTTCAGCTCCTCACCTTCAAAAGCCAATTCATTCTGTTTTGGACTACCAGTATTACCAGAGAAAGTGAGGGAAGGAGAGGAACTCCAAAGCACAGACATACCTGTGACTAAGAAGGGACATACAAATGGCCTCAGACCACTTTCTACTTAATGCTACCAGCAAAGTTCATTCCATCACCCCAAATTATTTCCCTTGCCCCTTAAGAAAGTCATGACTGTGGTGTTACACTTAAATAAATTACAAATGAGGTCTATTTTTATATGCACTTTAAATACGACGGCAATAAAGTAGCTCAGATTTCAACCTCCTACCTCAGCTCCTGTACTGCAATGCAATTATTGCCAAAGTCCTTCAAAATTAAAGGACAAACTGAAGTCATGTCCACTTAAAGAGCCCCCAGTTCTCTCCTGTTTTAACACATTTCAGTCACCTTTGTGATAAACTGAAAGTGATACAATGTGAAACTAAAATCTGAGTAACCTATATTTATTCTGAGTAACTTGTATTTCAAATGTGTAAGAACATGGCTCTTCAGTAACAGAATGTTGTGCTGCATAAAGTTTTACAGGCAAAACCACAATAGCAGCAACATTCCCCTCTGAATTAAAGAAGCTTTCTCCACTTCTGAACTTCAGTGTTCAGCTACCAAAGCAGTTCATGAACTACCTCCTCTTCAAAGAAAGAAATTCCACCTCTCCACTTTCATTTACTTCATGCACCAAATTAACAATCAATTGGCAAAACAAACGTAAATTTAAGTGCTGCATTGTTGCTCAGCTTCATGCTTCCCATCACCTCCAGCTGAGCTGACAGGAAACTATTTCACAGCATGCCCTGGCAAAACACAGCAGTGGTGCAGCAAAGCAGCACTAGGTGGGAAAGCAAACACCCAGGGTAGAGCAAAGGTTGTTCAGATGGGATAACCTGTGGAGCAGTGGAGGAGCAGGCAGCACTGGTACTTGCTGGTACTGCTGATGTAGGGGAGCAAAGAGGGGATCTTCTGCAGGCTTAATTTAAGCTTGCGGGCAGAAGACAAGCCTGGGATGTGAGGAACAGCGCTCTCAGCAATACTGCCAATTCCCTGTTCAAGGGCTGAGACGCATGGAGACATGAGAGCCCCTGGCCATCCACACAGTACAGAGCATAGGGAGCAATCACCTTAGGAGCTGGGGGATCTTTTGAGACAAGAGAAATGGGACGTGCCTGAATCATTACGAAGGTGCTGGCAATGGAAACTGAAAAAGTCTTAGGCAGCATCTCAGGTAGCAGTAAGTGAAAGGCAGAAAAAGCTGCTTGTTCAGACTGACATAACATATGAGGTGGATGTAGCTAAAATTCTAATGCAAAATTCGGAAGTGCCTCTGTACCAAAAAAGAGGAGCCT